CGCTTGTAAACTGGCATAATAAACATATTATATTATATAACCTATGGTTAAGGATTCCCGACGGAATCCGAAAGGACGGAAAAATAAAGCTCTTGTTCCAGTGGTCGCGCTTCCTTTTTCTGAAATACTTCCTGGAACTGGTGTATTCACTTCTATCGGAACGAATATGTCTCGCACCACGATCGTTGAACGCCCCTTGGTGGCAACGGTGACGATGAATACCGACGAGTTACCAGCACGGCTATTCCAAGTGGTAGAGAAGGTTGTGTTGCCAGCGTCGCAGACCGTGCGGCCAGAGAAGTATGCCATCTATGAAGATTGCGATTTGTGGGAGAATCGGATGAGGACATATATTGAGTTGCTCGATGAGGGGAGTCGCCCAGCCACTATCCTACTCTTCCTGGATTATGAAGTGCTGACAGTAGCGAGGGTGGCAAACATAACGTCAACTTTAACAACGGTCACGATCCTCGATCGTCTACGGCGAGAATTTGGACGAACTTTGACGCCGTGGGTCGCCCGAAAATTAATAAAGTACAGGCGCCAGATGGCAGGAGAGTCAGTCGGCCAATACCAGCGCCACCTATGCGCATTTGCCTGCACAGCATACGTAGATGCGAGTTTTGGGGAGCTGTTATCGAGGATCCTAAAGATCTTCATCGATGGCGTAGCTACTTCTGAGGTGAAGCCCAATTCGCACGTGGCCACCCAGCATTCATCAAGTTGGACCCCGAATTCGCCAGACAAGAGGAATCTGGCTTCATTGCCGGGCCACAATCCGAAGGGGCCCCATCGATGTTCTTCGATCCCCGACCAACAGCCTTTCTGCTCATAGTAATAATGTGAAGTTCCCGTTTTTTCAGGACCGTTGTAATTAGTGGGCAAGATCCTGGAGTATTGCACAGGTGACACAATAATCATAGCTCACACAAACAAATCAGAGCAAGTGTATGGAAACTTCAAAGAGAATAGACAAAGCAGTATACAATAACGAACTTGCCACGTGAATGGAGATCAGATAAAAATGGTAACAGAAAAAAAAGATGCAATCACCAGAACATGAGTTTTATTTTCTTGAAGTTTCGGATTCTGTCGAGAATCCTTATTTTTAAAATTCGTAGCCATCACCCGCGTTCACAGTATAGTTATTCGCTTCTGTAGCCACGACTTGCTGTCCCAATTGGTGTGGTGATGG